AAAAGAAACCTTCCTCCTTTTCCAAATTACATTCAATTTATTCTGTCCATAACTGCATTTACTTATCTGTGAATATATTGTTTCCCACAGCAAAATAGAAACTACTTGAGAGCAAAGGCTTCCTTGAACTGTACCTTCTATCCCTAGTATCTAATACCAAATCTGGCATTTAGCAGATGATCAATAAGTGCTGGTTGAATGATTAATTATTTTCACAATTCAACAACTCAATTCAATTAAAATTTATTAAGTACATACCATTTGCCAGGGACTGAGTTAGATGCTAAGGATTAAAAAAAAAAAAATCAGTCCCTGCCCTCAAGGATGTTCCTGGAGGTGTAAGGGGGACAAAATACACACAAATAAATATAAGATGCTAAAAATCAAGTAAGGAAGAAGCACCAAGAAATGGGAGAATCAGAGAAGGCTCCTTGTAGGAAGTGGCACCATAGCTAAGCCTTGAGGGAAGACAAGGATTCTGAGAGTTGCCTATGAGTAGAGAATGTAGTCCAAACCTAGAGAATAGTGTAGAAAAGATAATTTAGTTTGGCTAGAATTTAGAATTTGTGAAGAGTACTAGTATGAATTACTAGAAGAAAGATAAGTGGGAGTCAGATTGTAAAAGTCCTTAAAATATAAATTAAGGGGTTTCTATTACATATATAGATATATTATAGATATATCATATCTATTATATTATATATAAAAGTCAGATTGTGAAAGTCCTTAAAATACAGATTAAGGAGTTTTCTATAATATATACTGAAAATTTTTGAGAAAGGGAATGACATAAGTTTATTTAGATATTTTCATTTTTCCTTCTCTCCAAATCCTTGTTCTCATGGTCTCAAACTCATCTCCATTGCCTAGTTCTACGAGGTAGGAGAGTAGGCCCTGTTGCAACTGCTATTTTCAAACTCTGGAAAGTCCATGATAACCTTGAACTTAGAAATTATCTAAATCAGCAGTTCTCAACATGCAATACCTCAAGGTCCCTTAGATTCTTTTCAGGGGGTCAACAAGGTCAAAATTATTTTCACAATAGTAACCATGATGTTTTAATTTATGACACAGTAACATATCAACAATTACGATCCACATAAAAGCTTTCAGGGAGATTCTCAAAAATTTTAAAGATTTTAGGGGCGTCTAGGTGGGGCAGTGGATAGAGTACCAGCTCTGGAGTCAGGAAGACCCGAGTTCAAATGTGACCTCAGATACATAACACTCACTAGCTGTGTGACCCTGGGCAAGTCACTTAACCCCACTGTCGGGGTGGGGGGGGGAAGAGTTTAAATGGGTCCTGAGACCATAAAGTTTGAGAATCCCTGGTCTAACCATTTAAATTCCCATGTGCTAGGCATCAGGCAGAGTTTTATAAAAGCAACATTCTTACCCAACCCATGTCAATATCTGTATCTGGGACTTTCATGGGATATTATTTTTAGAAAAGGGGGGGGTACCCTAGCAATGCTGGTTTGGTTTAGTTTTTCTCTTTTATGCTAAAAAATTACAGTTTTATAAGTCACTTAATCTAACTGCCCCCCCACCTCAATCCCTTTCATTTTACAGATGAGGGAATGAAAGTCAAGACATATAAAATCAATTACCCAAGTTCACACAGATAGTAAGTGGTAGAGACAATATTTAAACTCAGCTCCTCTGACTTCAAATCTTGCTCTCTTTCCATTATTCCATGAACATAACCTTTTTAAAGAGACTGTTTTCCATGCCAGATGTTTGAACTTCCCCAAGCAATCATACTATGCAAGCAGAAAAGAAAAAAAAAAGATCTTGGATCTGGAATACCAAAAAACACTGCCCAATTCAAGCCATATCCTAATGAACCTGTCTAAGATTGAGATTTGGGAGAATGAAGCACAGCATATTTTTAAGAGACCTCTCTAGAGAAGCTACATGTACCACTTTCTGTCAGGGCTTATTATTGGGAAAATTGGGGCTTTTGTGGAAGACCTCAGTTCCACTGCTCTGGCTTTTAAACATAAAACTTCTGAGAAAAATCATGGTGACCTTAACCCTTTTACTTAAACTTGAACTGAAAGAAGGATTCATTTCTCCCAATCAACCCAGAAATGAACCAGTGGGTGACAGAATATGTCACTAGGCAAAAAATAATGAATTTCAAAGGAAACAGGAAAGAAGGTGTCTGATGACTTGATCAGAGATATCAAAGGAACAGCTACCAACAGCATTACTAAAACCGAATTCTACTGGGGGCCAAAAATAAATGTAATCTTAACCAAGGCATGTGTTTCTCATTTTGTATTTTACACTAACACTTGATGTCAGATTATGAATGTCACCTAATGATTCACTGGTGACTCTTTTCCTCCATGAGAAAAAAGTAACTAGTGTAGGGTCAGAGGAGGAGGTGTCTTTTCTGTATATGACCAGTTTAATGTAATAAACTCCACACAAGTACTAGCAGCATCTCTCTTTCTTTGAAACTGGTCATCATAACTATTCAAGCTAATGTTGTGCAACTTGAGTGTTGTTCATCCAGGTGGAAAGAAGTTTGGGTAACATCAGGGACAGGAGAGAGGTATATGGACAACTGTGAGTTTACTTTCTTCCTCAATTATAGGCTCTTTCAAAGCCATGGCCCAAGTAACCAACTCTATAAGAGAAGCCACACACAAATAAAACAGTCAATAGCTACCCAATTATACAACACTTTGCATAAGGAAAAATCAAAGCAAAAGGAGTTAATGGTGGACCAGTCAGGGCATATTTCTAATCTCTGTGGCTCAAAACACATTTACAGCAATAGGCAAAAGGTTTTTCATACTATCATTGACTTAGAAACAGAAAAGATCTTAGAGGCTATCAAATTTAACTCTTTCATTTTACATATAAGGAAACTGAGGCACCGATTTTCCCAAAGTCACACTTCTAGTAAGTGTCTGAGGTGGGATTTGAAAATAGATCTTCCTGTGTCCAAGTTTAGTACCCTATCCACTAAGCCACTCTACCTTTTTGGTATTATATTTGTTAGAATGCAAAGTTTCCCACTAACCTCCTAGTCTCTCCTGAAAAAAATATATTTATTGCATATGTGGAAAATCTAGATCAATGACTGAGACACTACTGTATAACAGAAAAATCATTAGCTTTGGGATTAGATCCAGATTCAAGTCTTGGACTACTTACTAGCTATGTGAATGTAAGTAAATTACTTTTCTTCTATTGGCCTCAGTTTCCTCATCTGTAAAATATTTATTTTACAGGATTGTGCTAAAGAAAACACTGTAAGCCTTAAAATACCTACAAATTTAAACTGTTATTATCTGTGACTTACTAACCCAGTTAAATATAACATCCTAAAATTACATTCTTTTTTTTTTTTTGGCTTTTTTTTGGGGGGGGGGCTGGGCAATGGGGTTAAGTGACTTGCCCAGGGTCACACAGTTAGTAAATATCAAGTGTCTGAGACCACATTTGAACTCAACTCCTCCTGACTCCAAGGCTGGAGCTCTATCCACTGTACCACCTAGCTGCCCCTAAAATTACATTCTTTTTAGGTGCCTAATAAGTTAAATTTGTCACCTCAAGATTTTGCCCACAATCAAAAAATAGCATTTTGTTGGAAATCCAATCAACTCATGCACAAAGTTTTATGCTCCAAAACTGTGAAGCTTAAGAGATGCATATAAATGTAGACATAATCAATCCCTAGAGTATTTTTTTTAATTCCTAACATTTGGCACAGAAGGGGGCTTTTTTTAATAATGGGTGCTATCTTCCAAAACACCAGGACTTGTAGCTAATATATATATGTATTTAATAGCATATGAGTAAGATGCTCAGAATTTCATGGACAGAGATCTGCCTTCCCTCTAAGGGAGCATGATGAAAAGAATCTTAGACCTAGAGCTATAATATCATAGATCTAAAAAAGACCTCAGAGTCCATGTAATCTAATCTCCCTCCACTTCACAAAAGAGGAAAGTGAAGCCCAGGGAAGTTAAGTGACTTGCCCAAAGTCACAAAGATAGTAATTGTCGGAGGTAGAATTCAAATCCAGGTCTTCTGAAGTCAACGCCAGAGACCTTTCCACTGTACCACTTGAAGTTAGGAGACCTAGTTTAAATTCTAAATTCTAATATTACATATGTAACTATACATATGCCAGCTAAACTCTGAGCCTTAATTTTCTCAGCCATAAAATAGAAATAATAATAGACTAACAACCTAGCAAGAAGTGAGAAAAACAAAATACTACACAAATATAAATTCTAAATATCATTGACGCCTTCTAAAATTTACTTATTTCTGGCCCTATACTACTGAAATCTGTTATGTGAAGCAGGCCATAATATTTTAATTAAGTCATTAAAGGCTGACCGAATTCCCAAGCACCTTATCAAGAACAGGCAAAGCAGTAAGTTACAAGAAGGGGATAGCACAGTTTAATGTCTTCCATCTATGACAAAACCCCAAACAGTGCAAAACACAAAGCTGAAATAGCTGTTAACAATCCTTGATAGCAAGTTTCACAATACAGAGAAGAGGAGGAAAAGGAAAGCAAAAGCAATGTATAAGCTGTAATAGTTTCTCTTAATTAAATCAACAATCTGCAGCATACATGACATGCACCCATTAGGCAGAGACCCCTGGGAAGCTTTGCTCTTCATTATCTTTCTTTTTTTTTTATTTATCATTCTTCAGTATCTTTCATCTGAAATAAGGGAAATCGTTTCCAGAATTAACTGATGAAATCTGAAACCCCATGCACAAATGGCTTAGAGTTTTAAGGCAAAAGCAAGGTGGAGAGGTTTTGTCTGGATAAAACGAGATTGCCTTTCTTACTATTTTACTGATGCAGAAAGGGCTTTTACAAGGTGTCAGTCAATCCACTGAGGAATCACTTCCTCTGCTTAGAGTGGAGCCTGCCCTTGGACTCCCCTGGAGCCATGCCCTACACCAGCAGCAGCTCTCAGGTAGCAAAACTCAGGGGTTTAGGGAGAAAGTGCACTCACCATCTGATTGCCGTACCAGTACAGAGATGCCCCCTTAAGCACAACCCAGAACTTTCTCCATTTGTTGCTGAGGAAGGTGCCTTTTTCCTTTTTCTTGTATAACCACCCCTGGAAGTCAGCGTGTCCCAGATCTTTGCAGGATATCCTCCTCCGGCTCATTGTGAAGAAACCTGCACACAGCATTCACACCAAGAATGAAATTATTATTCTGTGCTCAGGGAAGCCCGAGAAAGATCCTGTTAAAATAACCAATTACTTAAAGCCAATGCCTCCAAGTTGCTATATCACGCACCCCAGAGCTCCCTGGAGAACAAATTTCATCAATACAAATCGCCACCTCCTCGGGTGCCTTAGCTTGCAAAATGCATTGCTTCTACATAAAAGGTATAACAAACGAAACAAGAAGGAAGGAATAATGTTCAGCATATGAGTAGTATTCTTAAAAATGCCATTGGACAGTGTAAATTAGAAAATAAAGTGTAGTAGACCACCCGGCAAAAGACTGCACAACACAGCCGCATGCAGCGAGCCACAAGAGCTGCAGTTATGCAATAGAAGTGTGCGGGCTAATGCCCATTTAAGCGAAAGCTACTTCCCAGGCTCTCAATTCCACTATCTCCAAGCCCTACTGACATACCACAAGGGATTAATCCAAATGAGCAGCATGTCGTCATTTCTCAGAAGGGACAGAAAAATAACCACGGGTCAAGCTGCCTGCCAACTAGCCCGGGCTCACGATACTCAGACAGACAAAAAAAAAAAAATCGGATCCCAAAAAAGACGTCCAAAATTATAATAACGATAAATAATAAAGGGACAAATGAAAGCTCTTATTGCAATACCTTGAGTTTTCTTCCTCGGCTTCTGACGCAAGGGAACCTACAGGAAGCGCAGGAAGGAAAGAAAAAAGGAAATTTCTGATTAGGTTGTAACATTTGTAAATGAGAAGGGAGGGAGGAGGTGGTGGTGTTCACGTGCAGGATAGAATCTTCAAAAACAACCAAACAAAAACAAGATACAATAACAACACTTCACTTGGAGATAAAAGATAGCTACTAGCTGAAGCAGAAAATGGGCTAATTAGAACTGAGGTACATAGAGTTGAACGTGAAAAAAAAGATGTTACATTGTTTTTATCACTAGCGTTTCCTGTTTCCACCCACAAGCAGTTTTCTCACTAGTACTTTTGAGTCAAGAGAGTAATACTGTTCTTTAAAGGAAAATATGCAAACGGATATATATTAGAATAATGAAGACTTCATTTTCTCCTGAGCTGGGAAAATGAAAAGTCTTACATTTTAACCCTTCTCACTATTTAAAGTTTCTAAGTGTTGATTGTAATTTAAATAAACATTTAAAGGGTAACAAGACAGGTCGTGCAATTATATGATTGTCATTGAAACCACATCTTAAAGGGTTACAATAAAATCACATCAGGTAAATAACGTCCAAAAAGGGAAATTCCAGTCTTCCTTGGTAACACAGCTGTATTTATCCTACTTTCCTATCCAGAAAGTCTTCTTTATATTTAAACTTAATCTCTTCTGTTGTAACTGAAACCTATTTCCTTTTACATTCTTCTTATGTCTCATGACTGGCTACTATAAATATATTCTACAAAGGATAAATTCACAGTCTACTTCTATCATATTACATTATTTCAAGTATTATATGAATACATATATACTATATGAAAATGGACAAGGTTTATTGCATTTCAAATTTATCAGAGATGTAATTATATTATACATATACATATGATTCAATTTGTTAAAATCTCAGTTATTATAAATATAGAAAACACAAAAGTTACCTTAGCCAATAATCTCTTTCTTGTTTTCCTCTAACTTCTCTCTATAGCAAATGTCCTTCATTTGTCTATCTTTGAGAAACTGTCACTTTCTAAAGTTGTGTTTGCTCAGTGTTACTGATACGGAATCAATACGTGTAATAGCTTGCCCTTTAACATTAACAAGTGTGGCATATGCATAGCCCAAAGAAAAATCTGAAAAACTGAAGAATCAATGAGAGAAGCTCATATGTAATTTTTATGGTATTTACTGTTTTGTGTATTCTTGTATTATACAAGCATCAGGTGTATGACAAAATGCATAATAGATGTGAATATGTCGAACTTTTAAAAAATATCTTAAGACTCAGTCCTTTTCTGAAATTCAAAGTTTAAGTATGTTTCACATTTCTTTCAGCAATGATAATGTAAATAAACAGCTTGGTTTTATTTTCCTAGATTTTTTTTTAATATTCATGTATTGCATTTCTATTCTAAGGCTAGTAAAGTTTAAACACAAAGAAATAATTCTGAATTAGATAAGTAGCTATAATATCTAGCACAACAAGGTTTGCAAAACACTTTACAAATATTTCATTTTACCGTTACAACAACTCAGGGACATTGATGCTACAATCATCACCATTTTACAGATGAGGAAACTTTGGCAAGCAGAAGAGAAGTGACTTGCCCAGAACCATAAAGCTAGTAAGTTTCTAAGGCCACATTTGAACTCAGGTCTTCATGACTCCGAGTACAGCACTCTATCCAATTCTAATCATTTGAAAACAAGCAACAACAAAGGAATTTGCTTACTTTTTAGGGATTCCCTGAGATATATGTATGTAGGGAGAACTATTATCAGGATAAGACCTTCACTGAGCAAGCACGTGATCTGGGGCTAATTCAAAGCCACCACCATCCCCATTACCATTAATATATCATCCCCACTGATCAGTCAACTAGGGAAATTCTGTTAGATCAGTGGTTCTCCAAGTATAGTCCTAGAACCCTTAGGGGTCCTGGAGACCCTTTTGCAGGCCCATGAGGTCAAAAAATGCTTCATTATAATACTAAGAAATGTCAGAAACCATATACCATCTAATTTTAAAGGAACTACCTACCACTCCTGGAGTTGGGTGTAGTATCAAAGAAAAATGTGCACAATTATCTACAGAGGCTATTAAAATAATCCTTCCTTTCCCAATAACATATCTATGTGAGACCAGATTTTCTTCTTATACTTCAACCAAAATAACACATTGCAACAGACTGAATATAGAAGCAGATATAAGAATCCAGCTGTCTTCTATTAGATCAGCATCAAAGAGATTTGCAAAAAGATGTAAAACAATGCCACTCTTCTCACTAAATTTTTTTGTTTTGGAAAACATAGTAATTTTCATTTAAAAAATTGTTATCTATGTAAACATGTAGTAATGAGTCTATTGTTATACTTAAATGAATTAAAAATGAAATTTAAAATTTTATCAATTTTGATGCTAACATAGTAAACATCAATAGAAATAACACAAATAAACAATAGGTCTTCAGTTTTTGAGAGTGTAAAAGGGTTCTTAGATCAAAAAATTTGAGAACTGATGCTTTATATTAATTGTCTCCAGGAGTCCTCCATTAAGATGCAAATAAGTTACAGGACTACAGGAGTAACACAGGAAATGATTAGCACTCATTAAAACTTGGGCCCCAGATAAATTCATTAGATTAATTAATAATAACAGAACTTTAAGGTTTACTGAGGGTTTTCTTCACAACAACCCTGTAAAGCAAGTAAATTAAACCTAGCTGAGAACAGGCTTCTGGGCAAGTAGAACTCAGGATAGAAAGGAGGCTAAAAAGAAAGGTTTTGGCTTTCAGGGGAGAAGTTTAAGAGCAATGGCACAATAGGCCAGTGGGGGGTGGGGGTGGGGAATCATTCAGTTGTTTATTCAACAAATATTAAGGGCCTACTAGGCACAAAGTATCTCTCAGTATACAAAGGAAAAATCACACCGCATTCTTACACTTCCCAATCCTATACTCATCATAATTTTGGTACAGTTGATGTCAGTCATTTAGGGACAATTAACAATATGATGCCCGATATGCATGGTAGAATCTTGTATTCTCTGTAACACTTAATACATTGCATAACTGAGAAGAGGTGGTCTATGGTAGAATATTAACCATGAAAGTCTACCTTGTTTTCTTATATTTTCACCATAGACACCTTTACTACATACATAGACTATTCAATTAAAGATTTTTATTAAGATGATAAAGTAGGCATGAGTTATTAGTTGCCAATGCCTCCTGGGTTTCCATTTTCTCAGTAATAATACCATCTATGATTCTTTTTTTCATTTTTTGGATAACTTATAAGATATTTAAAACAGATTCCTGCATTCTTCTAAAATTGTGTCACCTCCAACATGGTATTCTTCTGTATGTGTTTCACCCAGAGATATCAACTCCTCCAAAATTCATTTTCTTAATGCTATTTCTACTGCTTTGAATAGCACATGGGATACTGAGGTGTTGCGTTAAAAAGCGGCGGTTCCATTGTCGTCAACGATGAGAATAAGTCATTTTATAAAACACTAGCAAATCTGTGCTGTTACAATGGATACTTACTATCCTTTTCTCAGTTTCATTTGGGGGTAATATGGCCTATCTGGGTCTCACACTAAGCTTTCTATGGATTTATTTTCCCTTCTACTGCTTTTGACTATTTGGTGAAACTATTGTAATACTGTTCATAAACTTCCATTGCTCTCCATAATGCATTGCAAATTAGCTAAACCAGTACTGGTCTCAGCATTTATCTCTTCCCTTGGCAAAGAGACCAAGTTTCCTCTGAGTCCTTTTGGCCTTCTTGATGAAGTAGTTCCTTCGTATTGGATAAGTATTCTAAGAAATGGAGATAATCAGAATCCACATCCATTTTCCTTCTATCAGAGCCAGTAGCTTGTTTAAATAGGTCAGGTTGGAGCTGTTACAATTTCATGCAATATCTTCTCAGCTTTATACTTTCTTCTAATTTGGTTTTGCTCTTGACTTTTGCTCTAATTAATCAATAATCTGACTGCGGGAAGGTGGAATCCCACATTAGAAACCAGTAATTTTCTGAAGTTGAATTACAGTAAATTTTATTCTTTGTGATGTATGATGCTTCTATGTTTGGTGTCTTACATCTTCTTGAAGAAAGTTTTCATAATAGACAGATATAAAGCTTCTGGGCAATTGATAAATTACTCTTATTTTTTCTTTAATCTCAAAATACATTTTCCAATTCTTTTACTAACTTCCTGAAAATTGACCTTCAATCAGTTAAGCCATTTGTTTAATCAACAAGTATTTATCAAATACCTACTATTTCCACTATATGTGCCAAAGACTGGGGATATAAAGACTTACACTTACACTGTACATAACTTGAAAGCACAAATTTTTGCATTTTGTCACCTCCCATTAGAATATGAGCTCCTTGAAGATATGGGGAAATTGGAACACTGATGCATTGTTGGTGGAGTTGTGAACTGATCCAACCATTCTGGAGAACAATTTGGAACCATGCCCAAAGGGTTACAAAAATGTGCATTCCCTTTGACCCAGAAATACCACTTCTAGTTCTCTATTCCAAAGACATCATACAAGTGGGAAAGAGGACCCACATGCACAAAAATATTTATAGCACCTCTTTTTGTGGTGGCAAAGAATTGGAAATTGAGGAAATGTCCATCAATTGGGGAATGGCTGAATGAGCTGTGGTATATGAATGTAATGGAATACTATTGTGCTATAAGAAATGATGAGCATGGGGCAGCTAGGTGGTACAGTGGATACAGCACTGGCTATCCACTGGAGTCAGGAGGACTTGAGTTCAAATCCAGCCTCAGACTAGACACTTGACAGTTACTAGCTGTTTGACCCTGGGCAAGTCACTTAACCCCAATTGCATCACCAAAAAAAAATTTTTAAATGATGAGCAGGCAGACTTCAGAAAAATCTGGAAAGACTTAAATGAACTGATGCTGAGTAAAGTGAGCAGAACCTGGAGAACATTGTACACAGTAACAGCCACAATGTG